GGCTAGCGCAGAGAGTCCTCGTGTAGCTTTGCGTGAAATTCAAACAAACAAACAAAAGCAGACCAATTAACTTTTATTTGAAAAAATAGTAAATTGAATCATTTCAGTTTGTTTCATTTGTGTATGTACTGAAATATCTACACATTCACCAACAAAACTTACATTGCAGTTGTTTTCTCTGCACCTTTTTCATTTATTTATTTCTATTTTTACATCATTTTCATAGAAAAATGTAGTAACTTTTTTGAAAACTAACTGCTTTATGAACATATCTGTACTTTCTTTTTTCTGCCATTTTTAAACATCAATATCCCATAATATCAAGGGAATCTCCCACAAAACTAAATAACATCACATCATAATGCAGCAAATCACATTCTTTTGCATATCTAAATGAGCAATTACAGTTCAGAATTTTCCAGTTGCGATTGCAATCTATTGTAGCGAAGTCATTCATAATACATTTTGAAGGGTGGGTGCACACAAAAAATTCAAATGCATACTTCTATTTTTTTCCCTCATGAACTATTACATAGGCAAACGATTATTTTGCACCAGTGGCAATCAAAATACTGTAAATACATAAAGTATGCATCTTAGAAGCAACACTGGATATATTTATTTCTGTCAGTTTGCTCTTTTGACCTTGTCAGATTTATAATTACATTTCATAAGAAAACTTTAAATGTTCAATATAATTGTTTGTACATGTACGTAATGTATGATTTCATATAAAGTTTTGTTAGAATTACTCATATATACAGCTATAATTATTTCATTTCATATAATCCACATTTGTTGTACATTTTCTATTTATGACACAGTAAATTGTTGCACATTATGTATTGTTTTATATTAATGTTGTGTTAGATGTAATGTTCACATTAAAATTGTTTCTCACAAAAAGAAATTGTAAGTGAGCTTAAAAGCTTGCCTTTTACTAAATACATTGAGGAGTTAGTTCAAAAACGTTTTTTTCCTACTATTAAAACAATTACACTGAAAACTTCCATTGATAAACTAATGTTTTCATACTCACCAAAAGTATGTCGCAGATTTTTTTGCCTAATTTTTTTTCTTTTTTTCTTGCAAGATCAGTAACATAAAGAAAGGTCTATATAGATGTCAAAAAATTTTTTAAATTAGTAATAATTTAAAGAATGCCATTTCTACACTCATATACAACATACTAACACCTGGTCCTTTACTTTCTAGCTTTCGTAGATTTCACTGTTACAGAAATTAAGTTTGATTGTTTATATATATAATTATTAGAGTTTAAATCAAACATTAATACGTATTTCTGTATACAAGAAAAACTGTGAACATACTAAAGTTTCAACTATTGAATGCATTTAATACTATACCTTCCATAACAATCTTACTGCAAAATAATTTAATTGATAACCTTAGTAATAAATATTTTTAAGCATTTATGCTCCAATAAATGTGATGAAACTAGCATGAAGTGTAGATTCAAAATTAATTTTGAACAAAAATATAACAGCTGATTATACTTGAAACATTAAATGTTCTATACTTAGTTAAAACATTTAAACTATATGTGCAAACTTTTAAAAGTTAGTTGAATTTATACAAGTTTTACTAGACAGCACATTACCAACATTCAATAAACTGAAGAAAGAATTAACCACTAATCCTGTATAAGCAAACCCAAGTCTTGAAGATCCACTTATTTTAGATACAGATGTTAGTGATTTTTGCAGTCGAAGCAGTTATTGCACTAAAGCATGTGATTGCCTACTACAGCAAAGCAATGAATGCTGCAGAAAGGAGGTACTGTACCACTTGGAAAGAGCTACTAAGTGTTGTTTGAGCCCTAAGTCATTTCCATTATTATCTATACATGCAAAAGTTTAAACTCAAGACAGATAATACAGCATTGAAGTGGCTTGTGATTTTCCACAATACAGTAAGGTAGATGCCAGGATGGCTCCAGAAACTTCAGGAGTACAACTTTAACATCATACATTGCCCACGATGGAACCATGAAAATGTTAATGCATTATCCCAAATAATATACATTAATGAAGAAAATAAGGAAGCACAGATAGTTAAGTTAAGCATCCTCAAGTACAACAGAGTATGATCCAAGAAGTGAAATCCACAAGTGATAACAAAAAACTAATGTGGTCCAACATTCAATTGAAAGTTGCTCAAGCATAAGATAGAAGTTTGAAAACAGTTATTCTGTGGATCAAGAATAGTGCAGAAAAACTCTCAAGGCAAACAGTCATTCCATACAGTAGAAAGACAAAGATGCAGTAGCCACAACGGGATTCATTATGTCTACAAAAAGGCTCATTATATTAGAAATAAGAAGATACCAGTATTCATAAATAATGACTATAGTTGATGCTTCCATAGTCTCTACATTTCAAAGCAATTCATCATCATCGCAATCTTCCACCAACTGGACACTTAAGTGTTAAGAAGACAGTGGAGTAAACAAGAGAACATTTCTATTTGGTTGGGTGCTAATGATCTATATAAAATTGGTTTGAAATGTGTGAACTATATTGTGAGAAAACAGGTTCACAAAAGAAACAGCACAGGTAGCTACAATAGTACAGTATTGGAGCACCACCTGAGAGAGTCGCTGTTGATGTACTTGGTTCTCTGCCACAGAATAACTGTGAGAATAAATATATCATATCTGACAGAAAATAGTAATTATCATGAAATATGCTCTTACATTGTAGACACCAATTAATATTTAAGATATTCATTAAGAAACTTTGAATTGGCTTTGTTTGAAGAAAAGTGTCAGAGAAGAGAAAATAACTAAAATACAGTTTCACTGAAACAAAAATGTTTGATATTTATTTAGGTTACACAAATGTATTTTGAAAACTTTCAAATGAAAAATGGATTTTTAATCTTTAGATGAAAACCATTTTGCTCTTAGAACAGTTAACACTCTGACTCCATACATTGACAGAAAAATCTTTAGAAAAAAAAAATAATCCAAAAATATTATTTTTTTTGTAAACAGAAGACCAACCGTATGGAAAGAGTTAAAAAGAGTTATTTATTTCAAGTATTCACTTAAGAAGACATTATAATAAGAACACACAAAGCAAACAATGTCCTATAACTATTATAATTTAACTGGATTTCAAACTAAGGCATAAGTGCCTTGAAATAGATGCCTTAGCTACTTCATCCAAATTTGGCATTAGCAGCTTTCAATCTGTGAGTGAAATAACTAAAAATCTCTACTTAGAACAAAGTAGCATTATACATCATTTAGTAAATTATGACTTTGTCTTTCTATTGGCTATAAATGATGTAATAGCAGTATCAGAGAATTATTGGTAATTTGTAAAAAAAGAGAATGTAACAGGTGATCATGAAAAGTGGGGCTGACTTTCTAGTTTACATCTCTGTAAATAAGAAGATTGAAAACTATAAAAATTTGACTATGCCTCAGTAACATCTGTACTATAATGAGTAACTTATGTTAAACTTATCAGAGAGGAGTGATGAAAAAAAGGGGGGGATGTTCAAGTTGGAGTAAACAAATGTCAATATAGGTATAAGGGGAGTTTGAGAATTCATGTAAATATATTCTTTTAAAATTAAGAAATGAAAACATTAGATATATTACCTAACTTTTTATACCAACTTTTATTTGCATACATTGATAATAGAGTGCTTTAATTAAATTTTGAATGTTGCTCTTTAAAAGGTCATGATGTGCACTTTAACCTACCCGTAGCAATCAGTTAGTCATTTATTTGGATGAACATCAGAAAACATGGGATCAAGATCTTCACTGCATCTTATGATTTATTATGAGCTCTTGAATGGCAGCACATGAAGTTACAGACACACTATCATCACTGATGTTTTGGAGAGACCTTCCATACTTGTATCCAGAAGATAGTCAGTTTAAAGTCTTAAAAAGAATATGCAATGGGACTAAAAAATACCATTAAGGTCATTCATGACTTTTCACAGGAAAGACATGATTCAGCTAGTGAGAAAATGAAAAGCTGCTAAGACTAAATTCCATCAAAGTGACATGACACATCTGTGCAATCCACGCCACAAGAAGGGACAAACTTCACAGCCAAGCAAGTTAGGAATATCCATATGTTATACTGAAAAGAATCAATTATGTGGTTTACAGAACCCAGGGAGACAGGAGAACTAAGCCAAAGGTATTCTAAAGTAATAATTTTTTGGAAGTACATCAATAAGAAAATGGCAAACTTGGTAGCTACAGAGAAGAAATTTTCAGTGGAAAGTCATCTTGTTGAGTAGCCCAGGGTTCTTATCAAGACCACTTTTCAAGGATCAATAAGAATAGATTTAAAAATATTTAATTTTTAATAGATAATAGATAATAAAATTTAATAGATAAAAAAATGTGTAACTTGTCAAATAACAAAACAGATATGAAGAATTAACACTTGATTATTGATAACTTTTCTGACAATGAACAAAATTCTCATTAACAATCATATTGAATACTTCACATAATTCTCATTTACAATCAATTTCTTAACTTATCACATTCATTACTCACTACTCATCAGTTTTTGTTATTTACAAAAAACATATCCATGTCTCCAGATAGCCTCTACTAAATTCTTGATGCTGTAAAAATGATGAGTTTCCTTTAGCAAACATCTAAATTAAAACATTAAAAGTATAGCCTCTAATACTGTGCCCTTTCTGGATTGTGAAGTTTCTTGATGAACAAACCTAATACACAAATAAAAGAGTGCACTAAACTGTCCATTCAATATGTGTTATTTTGGTGGTTTTCTCTTTTGAAGACTATGGTATGCAGATGGGATGACTTCTTTTTTCATTAACATCACTCACTGTAGTGTTACTTAGGGAGGTATCCCTGAGTAGGAGGCTGAGCAGACCCACTTTTTTGCAATATATTTTTTTTCAGTGAGGTATGAATAGTATGATTAGTAATTACTAGCACAAACAGCCACCCATATGATGGCATTTCTGCTAGTACAAGTAAATGTCCTGAATAAAACAAACTTGCTAAACAACTGAATAATGTGTAGGCCTCACTTCAAATACCATATTTCAGTAAAAACTACAAGATGTATAATTAAATTATTTGGTAAATGGTACCACTTTTAATATATAAAAACATTACAGTTTATATCAGTAAAATGTATGAAAGTTTTGAGCTCTGTACATTGAATCATTTTGATGCAATGAGTTGCATATAACTAAAGAGCACAATCTGAACACTGTTCCTGGGCAGTGCTTTTCACAGAAAAACATTTCTTAGAAAATGTTCACTTTTCTACCAGTATGTATGTATGTAACCAAAACTCCTGTGTCATCTTTTGAATGACACCACAAACAAAAATCCATAAAACATTTCACACTTTGACTGTTCAAGATTGAGACAATTAGAAAAATAACTGGTATGTGCAACAGCCATTTCTTTATGACAGAACATAATTTTAAATATAAGTACTCTCCTCTCAACAAAGTCACAACATTCACTAGGACTGTACATGAGGGTTTGATTATATCTTTTTTTGATGAAATTTTTAAATGTAGTACTGAAAAACTGGAGTTCTTAAAAAACTAATATTTTTCCATACATGCTAGGTTCGTTATAGTAAGAAGATACGAAAGCATATTACTTCTGATGATTACACACTATACACATGACACTCGATTTTGAGGGGGGGGGAGATGATGAAGGTTATAATTTAGTCACATCACTCTCTCTCATAATTTTTAATAGATTTAAGTAACAACTACTTATAATAAAATCACAGAAATAAAATTTAAACAATGAGCCAGATTCTGAAACATATATTTCAAACATAAGCACCAAAAATCATTGTATATGTCTTCATACACTTAAAAGTATTTTACTTAATTATTCTTTTAAACTGCCAATTTATCTTGCTTGCTTGTTTGTTGGGAATGTGACAATAATAAACATTACTAAAGAAATAATTTATCATCATCATGTAGTATTATCTTTACCAAATAATCCAAAAAAATTGAATGATAGACTACGTTACAACATTGCTATACATTTGTTTTACTCAAAACCCATAATGCACCAGTAAAAAATATTGTGATTTAAATGATCCTTTCTATAATGATTTAATATCATAAACATTATCAATATAACAACCTGTTTTAGTTCCAATTAAGATTTAATACTATTACGTGAATAAAAGCTGCTACAATAAAAAAAAAGAGTGTTTATAGTGAACTTTACTCTTTATGTTCAGTATTATGGTAAGCCAAAGCATAAACCTAGTTACCTGATGTTCGTAACCACAAAAGGTTCATTAAGTTACTATGTAGAAGGAAAGGGAAAAATATGCTGTGAAGTTGAAAGAAGAATGAACACTTGATTCATGATGAAACAGACAAATGAGTAGTCATGTGGTGGTAGGATTACTGCAATATGATAAAGCTTACTTAGTTTTATAGGTAGATTCATTTCAGTTACTGAGAAAGTCAGAACTCACTTTGAAAGTTTCATTTTTTATTTGAGTAAAAACAAACTGTTTTCATAATTCACCTGTGTTACTGGCTGATCACAAACTTAGATAACAATATCCTGAGGTATCTTTCCTCTGTATGACAATCATATAACAGTTCCACAAACAAAGTGTAATGTAGAATAAAATACATCTAATGAAACAGTGGCTACCTTTCTTGATAGATGTCTTGCTACAGAAAGCAACACATAGGGTTGAACTGGCACATAACTTCAACCATACTTAGCATGTTTCAAGGCAGAACTTGAGAAAATAAATTTAATTTTGTACAACATGAAATATGTACTTTAGCTGAGTGAAAAATGTGGTATTTGCATACCATAATTGAAATAATTTACTTTTTTCTACATAAGAAGGAATAAGTTTCTTCTAAATTAACGAATTAATAGAGTAAATCTATAAAATTTTCAAACTTTGCTAAGAAAAATAAATAGGCATATACACATTTCTTTCATACTGACAAATAGATTTGTACTTATTGCTAATTGTTCTTTGAGGCTGCAGACCAATATGTCTGCAGATACCAATGACTTTGAATTTTATATTCCTAGCCATACAAGTAACTTCCAGAGGATTTTCAAAACCCAGGAATTCTAAACATGCTCATAGATGTAAACTTATCATGAAATATACTTGAAAGATAATTATTTCTTAATAAAATTGGATAACAAATAACTGAGATCCTATAACTCTTTGAAATACAGGGTTACAGGTTGTTTAGTAAGGATGCAGTAGCTTTATATGTAAAATGTGAGTCACAGGCTGTTCCAGTTGAGAATATGTACAGATAGAAACTAGATTAAGTGTTCTGTTTACACATTCTTCTTCCCTGTTCCAGGAAATAAGTTTTGCTAACTCCTGACATATGCCAAATCCACCTTAAATGTGGATTTCAAAGCCACCCTGCTCAGTAGGATGATACTTGAAATGAAAAGGTTGTCATACAAGAATAGTTTAACATCTATGAACTTTTCTCTTGCAAAAAAGAAGAATTAGTGTGTTTAGTTTAACTTATTAAATAGGATGGCCTAGATGGACCAAAAGGTTCCTTCTTACCCTGTAATTTATGTTATAATGACATTAAATTTCTAGAAAAAGATTAAAACCTTACCTCAATCAAATTATGAATCAACTAAAAAGCTTCATGCATAAGAATAATTACCTTTGTTCTAAATACATCTTTTTCCTCATCAGCATCATCTAGCATGTCCACATCTGTTTCATCAAACAAACTATCTGACATCGTGTCATCACTAATGGAAGCCGATGAAATTTCATATGCTACATTTTCAGACTGATGAATCATACTGCTAGTTTCAGCTAGTATGTTTGTACTGTTTACTCCATCTAGATCAGATTATCAGTGTAATAACTCTTATAGTTGTATGTTTATAAATAAACAAGTAAATGAAGATTGACACAATCTTACTCAAAATACATCTTATTATAGCTTATGTTTTTTCATTTTTTCAATATCCATTTATTGATAGATTAACTGTTCAATTAAAAGACATGGCCACAACTTGAAAGACTACATTTATTAAGCATACATATTAATATTTACACAAGACAAAAATCTTTTAAAATTGTAATACCTACCTTCAGATAAAGTTCATCATTTCAATATATCACAAGATTTTAGAATATTTTATTTCATAAGTATTAGATAACTTTGCTATACAAAACGCAACAACCAGCTGACTATTATATGACTGTGTGTAATTTACGAACAAAATCCAAGTCATATAATTCTCTACTAGATGGGTAATTTTAAAATTTTACTTTCTAATCAACAGGCAATTCAATTAGTACAAAAAACTAGCAATCTCAAATTATTGGTGGCAGACTTTATATATCAATAAAATTATATTAACTCTAAAATTCAAAATCACAATTTGAAACTCTTTTTATATAGTGCATAATAACATTACACAGGTTTCTCAACTATATATAAACAGCCCAGAAAACCAAATAATTAAAATTCGTAAAATGAAACCTTAAAAAACATTTTATCTAGTACATAATATCAAGGACTGAAATATGACTATTACTTTTCCTGCTATTAATCATAACTTCGTGGCAGTTTAATGGATAGATAATCTGATAGAGTTGAGATGATTTAGTGGAAGGCCTAATTGTTATATTAGAGAATCACAAGTATTATTATTATTAAATTTTCATTGTTATTGTTGTACTGTGTTACATTCTTGCTATATAATTAACAAAAAAACTTATATGTTATCAGTTATTTGGCACAAATACAAAGAAAATAATTATCCTTAAAAGGTAGGAGTTTTGTTTTGATAAATTCAGAAGACTGACAATTAAAAAACACCAAACAGAAATCTTAAATTAAAATAGACAACAGTCTGATTTCACACTTTATAATCAACTTAAGTACATATTTATAGACAAAATATGCATGGATTTGTCATGACATAAAAGACTATTTGGTTTAAATATTAGTGATTAATTTATATTTGTGAGTGAATATTTTATTATTTTTAAGTTTTGTTATAATAATAGTTAAAAGCAAACATTTGTAGAAGTTTTTGTTGATAACTAATTGGTGTCGAGAATAGAGAAAGTGACCAGAAGACTATATAATAAAGATATAAATAGCGTGAGATGAGCGGGAAGCAGCAGACAGACAATAGACAGATAATAGCAAAAGAGAATATAATTGTGAGAAGTTAATTAATGCAAAGGTGATAGGCCTAACATTTAATATGTTAGAGTGAAACTAACAGTATTAAAAAAAAGATAAGGAGTATAATTTTATTCCATCAAAATGTGGTTATAAAGTAATTGAATCAGCCTGGGTACATTTTGACAAAAGGAACAAAGGATCTTCAAAAGAAAAAAGACCAAAAGAAATTATGGTAACTTGTGCCACAACTGTAAGTCAATCACACACAAAATACTAGTATGATAGTAATATACAGAAGATACTTCGACTTGTCAACTGAAATTCTCAAGTTACTGAATAGACCAAAGTGGACTTTTGACAAGAAGAGAACTATATATAAATAGTTTATGATATGCCTGTAATCTCTATAGTGTGAAGACTTTGTTGTATATACGTTTAACTTGTTCTGAATATATATAATTTGAAAACAAGTAAAGTGTGTGCTGTTTATTCATCATGGAATTTATTGCTAACAAGTCACAGACACCTACTGTAGAAGAATCCAAAGCCCAACAACAACAACATCATATATATATTTATACTATTAAGTAATATAAGTAAAAGCCATTTATTTTGACAGTTGGCAAAATGAAGAACTTGTATATATATATATATATATATATATATATTTTTTAAAATCTGACAGTGTGCAAAATCTGAAGCTAAGAGTTAAAACTGGTAATGTCACTGTATAGAAAAGAAAAAAAAAACATGAAGAAAGTAACCACAAAAATAAGAATCTTTTTAGAGATCATTTTGTTTATTTATAAAGAACATACAGTAGTTAAGTCTGAAAATATGTAAATGACTGAAAGTGAAATTTAAGATTCATAATACGAGTTTTCTTGTTTAAAAAACAAAAACCTTAAAAACTGATCTGCAGTACCAGAAATTTTCTTTCATCAGTGACTAACTGTCAGTTAGGGAAATTGAGGTGGTTTGTATAAATTCTGCCATTGAGAATGGGGCTGATCTTCAGCCCAGAAAAAAAAAAAGAGAACATTAGCAGCTCAATTGATATTTTCCTTTGGCCCACTCCAATACATTAGATTTGTTAATACCATTTCAGCTTCCAGTTCATTTTTTAGAACTTTGAAGTGTTATAATACTTATTCTGAATTTATTCTTTGTTCTTAATATGTGCGGGTTTCACATAACACTTGGTTGAGAAAACCATTAAGTTCATCCTGTTTCAAGCTACCTTTGTTGTTCTCAGAATAGGTAATACCAGTTACCACCCTTGGAGAACATTACTTAATACAACGTTGTTTAAGACTGTCAACAGCAGTGTCCTTCAACATCTGTTCAAGTTATATTTAAAGATTATGTCTCCACCTATGTTGTAATGAGAATTACCAATCACAAGAGCAGCACATGTTGTTCTGAGTAAATGTCAAGGTCTCTTGGAAACTAAAGAATCTAGAATTTAGTTAGGTTGAAACTTTTCCTTCAACTAATCAGTCTAGTGTGAAACTTGATTTTGACCCAAAGAAATCTATGAAAACATACCTAGAAAGATTGTTCAAAGCAGGTGCTTTGCAAATACACACACTGTGCTTGCATTTAGTGTATTCAGATTCTTCATTTTGTATATTCCTTTTGTCCAGTCTTATTTCATTTTGCATCAACTCAATCAAGCAAGTTTTAGTTACAATACATAATCCATATCTTGAATGAATATCTCATCATTTAGCAGCCCCATTCAACTGTTTAAACATTAATTTGGTTGAATATCCCATCATTTAGCAGCCCCATCCAACTGCTTGAACATTAAAATCGTTTAAATTCACTGCTCCAAATAGGGCTTAACTTTCATCTCTTGCTTTGGCTTGTATTAGCTCTTGACAACAGAAAGCATTATCAAAATTAAAGTCTCATGAAATTAGGATTTTAATATATTTTTCTCACTAGAAAGCAGAGAAAAAAAAAAATAAACGTATAAGACAAGCTAGAACTGTTGTAATGATATGGATAACCTGTTAGTCCTAGAGTTGGTGGATTTATGGAGTCAAATATGAATAAGTTGGCATATCAGTCGTGTGAGAGGCTGTTGATGAAGAGATTAGGTGATGGTAGAAAATGTTTTGAAAATAATCAGCAGATATCAAATAATCATCTAATTAATGGCAACCATTTAACTGGTAATTAGTGATTTTTATATCGGCATGCCCCTACTATGCACTTACTGGTCAGTAACTTTAATTTTAATAAAAATTAATCTACTTAATAATTTCAATATACATTTTACGACAGAAAAAAACATTTAAAAATATAATTTGATGATTGAATTAGACATAAGCTAAATTTTTCATTGCCTCTGCAAACTATTTATTAATGTTCTTTAGGTATCAAAGTGGTCCCAGTTTTTAATTTAACTTTTGTAACTGCAAGCTATCTACACAGAACATTACTGAAAACTATGCAACTAATGAATATAGCTAACTTAACATACTGTTCTTTCTAGAAGTATGCTAAATTATAAAACAAAAACTTATAATCATTACAGTGCAATAATTCATCAGCTGAGTATCTCACTGTTAACAATATTTTCAGCCATAATCCAGTAATACTGCACAATACTTAGCCAAATTGTTTTTTAACAGTCCCAATAATATCAACAGTTTTACCTATTTTTATTTTTAAATTACACCTATGTGCAAACCATACAATAGTTGCTATTTAGTTGGCATGGTGTGGATTTCTCTCTTAAACAGATTTGTATGTAACATACCATAGACACCCTACAGACAAAAGTAGCATCAATAGTCAGTTCCAGTTATGTGAACTTTCTTAAGTCACAACCAACAACCATATTTTGTGTATAGTGCTTGTAACTAGTAAAGAAAAGTTGATATATTTTTGTAAACAGTTTTCACTTATTCACTATATGAAAGCAGTAAAGAGTTAATTAATAACTTACAGATGAGATCATTTTACATCATTTCTGTGACAAAGCTATCTGATCTTTGGGGATCACCAGACAGCTTCCAGGAAGTATGTTGCTAAGCTTTTAGAGAAAATTATTTAATCAGTACTGCAGTTTGTGAGTTTGAAGAATTAAATGAATGTGAAACATAATAAAAATTATTCAGTATGAATAGGCAAGAATAAAAAGAATGTTAGTAATTAATATGCACATTGTTATTGCCACTGAATGTATAACCAAATAATTAAGGTTTTAGAATGAAAAATGGTGATGTTCAAGTGGTAATAAGAAAAAAAAAAGTGGTAAACCTACTTAAGTATGTTTGTAAGTGAAAATAAAAATAAACTGGCCAGTTGTTACAAGTTTTATAAAATATATTAAAGATATTAATATGTCATGATTATTAAATGTTTTTTCATTATTAAGTAACGAAGCCTAAATTCTGTGAATTCACAAAATACATCCAGAACTGAATGTCAACGAAATGGTTTCATCTTTATAGTCACTGTCTATATAACTTGGTATGTGTGCAAAAATCTGATTTTCTGATAAACAAGATGTTAGTATATTTTTGAAATCTTATAAATAAATAGATGGTTTTAGTTATGCTATAAACCTAATAAAAGATTAAATGAAAAATATATTGGCATGACACATATTATATTACTTCAACATATGTTTGATGCAGATTTATTGCTTTCTTTCCAAGACTGGTATAAGCATATAGAAGTA